ATCTTGTGGCAGCCATCTGTTTCCACATGGGAGCAACCATCTTGTATGTTGGAGTGATGGTCAATCTGCATATTACTCTTCTATTAGATAGGATAGAGGCCTGGGGCATGGGTTGGGGCCGGTTGGTTTGCCCTAAAGGATGTCCCAGATCAGGGTGGGGGTTCCCTTGGGCATGTGGTGGCCTAGGTGAGTGGCCTGTGATGGTTTGTAGGCTGACCACATTCCCCCCCTCCCCCCCACCCATGTGGAGGTCCTGGCATCTGGGATTTATTTATCTTCTATAATTGAAACTCTGTAGCCTGGAGTGGGGGCCAGAGCTGCAGGAGTTTGGCTTCCTCCATCACCAGGGGCAACTCAAGCCTCCTGCTCTCTTTAGCTCTGTGGCTACTGCCATTTTTGTTGGGATTTATCTTCTATAATTGAAACTTTATAACCTTGAGTGGAGGCCAGGGCTGTGGGAGCTTGTCTTCCTCCATTGCCGGGGAAACCCAAGCCTCCTGCTAGGTCCATGGCAACAGCCATCTTGGTTGGGTTAATTTGCGTACTTGCTCCTGATTGGCTGATGGGTGTTGCAGGGGTGTGGTCAATTTGCATATTACTATTTTTTTAAATAGGATGTATGTATACTTGCAATAGTATATATAGTTACAATAATGATGATGGCTTTAAATAATTTCATGTCTTCAAGTAATTTTATTTTATAAACATAATTTGATATTGATGCATATTTTATACTTATTTTAATGACAACACGATACTTCTTTTAGTTGACACAGCATAGTTTATTGTACTATCCTTTCTTGTTGGACATTTAAAGTGTTTTGGGTTTTGTATTTTTATAAGGAATGTTGCTGTATACATCTTTATAATGCTGTTTTATTATTTTATATTATATGTAGCCCCCCTACATTTGTACTTAATTAAACATACATAATTTGTGTTTTCAGTTCCTAAGGGGGGTCATAGCAAAATTATGACATCAGTAATTATACCTTACCTTTGTTATTAGACCCTTCAGTTAAGTTATTTCAGTATGATAGGCCTTAGATAGTCTGTCCTTGGTTCAACGAGTATTCGATTATTGTGATAATCCATTCCTTTCAACAAGTTAATCATTAATATCTTATAATTGCATTCATTTTATCACACTCATCTCTCTTTATTTGCATCAGCACTTTTTTCTTTTTCATATATATCTATGGACAAAACTGTATTTTTAATATAAGAAACAATACAATCAGTAAAAATTTTGCTCCTAAAATTTATTTTTTATTCATCAGATCCTCTCCTTGCAATAAGTTAGAATACTTTTTTTGTCAACTGATTTTAGAAAAAAGTTTTATTTTAAATGGTATAGGGATATTATTGTGCAAAGTTTGAAAGTGAAGGTTAGGAGATCTACAGCATGAAAAATAGAGGGGTATCTACATAGTGTTTTCTGATTACAAATTCTTAGGAATAGAAAGCAGGGACCAGGAACATTTTTATAACAGTTAAGCATAGCATCAAATTATTGCCTGGCCAGCATGGTGCAGTGGTTGAACATCAACCTATGAACCAGAAGGTCAAATTTCGATGCCTGATAGGGTACATGCCCATGTTGCGGGCTCAATTCCTAGTGTGGGTTCAATGGTTCACTCTCATCATTGATGTTTCTATCTCTCTGTCTCCCTTCCTCTCTGAAATAAATAAATAAAAATATTATTTAAAAAAACTGTTTCCTGAAAGTACTACACTATTATGTTACATTTTTCATGAAGTGCATATCTCTCTCTCTCTTTTTTCCTTTCTTGTTAAAGGGATTATCTTACATACATGGGTCATTTATTTCACGTACCCATTTCAAATACCATTTGAAGGCTACTGTTATGTTGAAATACATTTACTGCATTGTGCTTAGGCAAATGGAATAACAGAATTACGTTGCATTTTTAAATGCTATTTCCCTTGAAAATGATTGAAGCAAAAATACTCTTCTGCATAAGTTCAGGATTGTGACATATCTTTGGCATTTACTAAAATATACACTATACAAATATGGAAATCTCATTATGGAAGTATAAACTAGCCCTGTCTTTTCAATAAAGCTGATGTTTCTCCAATTTTTGATTCATTCCTTTATATTATTCCCTTAAGTCAAATGTCTATTTGGAAAGGGTGACTAACTTATTTGCTTACATTTTCTCTTGTCTATTATAAATGTATCTATTTGGGTGAAGTAAATCTAGTGTAGCCTATAGTATAGTTTTATTTTATTCACTTTAAAAAGTTTATTTATATTATTGGGCTTGTGGTAAATGCTTCAAGTACATTTAATCTCAAAGTTTATCTTTATGGGTTTTCTTTCCAAATAATATTCAGTATGTTGGCCCATGAATGGGTGAAATGCCTGTGACTTACTTTATATTAGGATGTTTATTAAATTTATGTAGCCCCTTTCAAATCATATTAAATGGAGGGATGCATGAGCATGTGCTTTAAGACTATCCTGCCAGGTCGCTTGATCTTGTTCAATGTTTGTGATTTATAGAAGTTATGAGAAGATGCTTCTCGGGTTTGCATTAGACTATGTACCACACACACACACACACACACACACACACACACACAACATACAAAGTAAAGTGAAGTTTGTGGGCCTGTGATACATGGATAACTATAACTAAGCATGAGCTTCCATGACTACTTAATCTAAAATCTAATAGACAACTGTGCATCTGTGACTGTGATTAAGTCTGTTTACAATATCTCTTGTGACTCACATTCCAGGAAAAAAGAACTTTTATATATATAATTTTTTTTAGGAGTCAGTAAAAACCACAGAACCTCTATATTTATATTTGAGTTTGCATCAAACATTTTTCACTTGGAAGAATTTCTTGCAAAAGGGGAAAAAGTAATAACCTAATTCTGAGTACCTTTTGTTTTAGGCTAAATTTCAAAGGACTGATCTTGACACTCTTGCATTAAGGGCACTTTAAGATTAATATAACTTTGTAGTTTGCATTTGTTTCTTCATTAGCTAAAAATTACAATATAATTTTAAGAAGCAATAGAATATTTTGGATAAGTAAAATGTAGCAAACTTTTCACTACTTTTGGATGAAATGTACCTCTATAAATTTCGTTAATTTTTATAATGGTTTTTAAAATGCTATAAGTCTCTGTCCTTCAAGTTTTGTTGAAAGTCTCTTTTTGTTTAACAATTATAAATATTTGAAAGTGAGTCTTATGATTGGATGTTGCCATTGGTTCAATTTAAGCTTCTGTGTAACAAAAGCAGTTCTGAACTTCCCTACGTTGGGATGATCAGTTAATAAGGTACAAAAAATGTATTCACCATCCATCCCTCTTCATAAATCACGTGAACCATTTCCAATTGCTGAACATCTTGGACCATTAAGGAATTCTATATTGACACAGAAGGGAGAACTAATTTAGCCAATCTCTTGATATGCTCTATAATTTATTTTAGATAGAATGAAGGGAGGCTGAAATTTAGGGGCTAAGCTCTCTCTTAATACTTAATAATTTCTAGTTTATTGTGGTAAAATAACTAAATTAATCTCTATCCCAGAGAGGAAAGGCATCCCTACTTCTGGCAGAATCTCAGTCAGTGAACAAACCTCAAATCCAGTGCACCTTCTACTGTAGGTCCCTTATTAAGGCGGCAAAAAGAGCTGTAATCATTTCTTTTTTTGTAAAGATAATATTAATAATAGTGTAATGGAGTAGGAGAGTTAGTGTCGGAAGTAGAAGTTAGCATTTATAAAGATGTTTAACTTGCTTAATCATTAGGGAAATAAAACCATAATGAAATACAGTTTCACAACTACTAAAATGACAATTTTTAAAAAATATATTTTATTGATTTTTTACAGAGAGGAAGGGAGATAGATAGAGAGATAGAAATGTTGATGAGAGAGAAATATCGACCAGCTGCCTCTTGCGCACCCCCTGCCGGGAACGTGCCCACAACCAATGTACATGCCCTTGACTGGAATCGAACCTGGGACCTTTCAGTCCTCAGACGGACGCTCTACCACTGAGCAAAACCGGCTTCGGCTAAAATTAAAATTTTTTAAAAAGCAAAAAAGTAACTATTGTAGAGGATATGGAGAGATTTGGAACTCTTTCTCATTGTTCGTGTGAATGTATAATGGTACAGCAGCTATAGAAATAGTTTGATGATTTCTGGCTTATGACCCAGCAGTCCTATTCCTAGATTTATATCTAAAGAATTGAAAACAGGGATTTAAATAGATATTTGTATGTGAATGTTCTATATTATTCAAATATAGCCAAAAGGTGGAAACAAGCCAAGTGTCCATCAGCAGATGAATAGATAAATGTGGTATATACTGTAATGGATTGTTATTCAATCATAAAAAGGAATGATCTTTAGATACATAATACAATTGGGATGAATCTTGAAAACTGTACACTAAGTGAAATAAGCCAGTTTCAAAGGACAACTACTGTTTGATTTTATGTATATGAAATATCTAGAATAGTGAAATTCATAGAGATAAAATAGATTAGAGGTTACCAGCGTTAGAACTATTTTGAAAGACATAAATCTGGTTTTAAATGTTGAGTATCAGAATTAATTTCTATTTAAAGGAAGCTTCTATATAAATAGCATTATAAATCTGAGAAAATATAGTATTTTCCCTTTGTAAATGAAAGAGAAATCCATGAGAATAGGAATATATTTTATTTTGTTGTGTTTTCCCATAAGAAAACGCCATTCAAAATCTAAGTGCTTAGTTTGTTATAACTTGCTGATGGTTCTGTGTGTTTTTTCACTAGTACATTGGATAAAAGTAAATACATGAACTCTGTGCTCTAACATTAACTATCACATAATATTGACTGTTTTTCTAGATTCAGCTTTTGAATCTGTAGTTAAATACAATATTTTGGGCAAATGAATTCCACCTTGTTCAGAGATTATAGATCACAGAGTGTAATCATAATCCATTTATCTTTCCTTGTAGCATCAGAGGCTCCTTGAAATGCTAGATACAGAGAAGGATCTGTTAAAAGAAAAAATAAAGGAAGCTTTGGTACAGCAATCTCAAGAACAGAAGGTAATGCTTTAGCTTTGCTCAGAGTGGGAAAGAATGTGCTTGGTTACTTCAAATAATACATATAGTGTCTTGTATTATCATTTATAGGAAATATTGGAAAAATGTTTGGAGGAAGAAAGGCAAAGAAATAAAGACTCATTAGTATCTGCTGCAAAGGTATTTCCATCTGAGAAGTTTATTATGTAGTGTAATTCCAATAAATTGTATTCTATTTGTTATGTTTACCCCCACCTCAAAGCCTAGATTTAAAATGTTTATTCTCATATGAAAATTGTACTTATCACTTATTTGCCTGGTATAAACACCTCTGTACTAATGGGGTTCTTTTTGTAACTGGAATTAAAAAACAGTTCATTAATGGTACTAATCTACTTTTGTAAAATACTTTATTCCAGAAAAACAAAAGCAATTGTTTTCTTTGTTATTTTTCCTTTTATGCTAGGATACTACATTCATATTCTTGTTAAATTCACATTATACAATATTATGATGATGCTGAAATGCTTTACATTCAGATTAGTAATTAATTGTTAAAAGAATTTAAAAATTTTTCAAAAATCAGTGGACACTGATTTCCACTTGGTATTTAGTGAGTATCATACAAGTTATGTTTGAGTGTTTTTGCACATGTGAATATGTAAAGATGTGTGTATATATGTATTTAATTATTTATCAAGATATGTGATTTTTTAAAGCCGTTTTTGAAATAGCTAATCTGAGTAATGATTCATAGATATTAAATATGTATATATGTATACCTTTATATATATATATATAATACTGACTTTTGAGATTTGCATTTAAATTTCATAAACAAATGTCTCATATAAACTAGAGCTCCAGTGCATGAAATTCATGTACTCTGGGGTGGGGGGCGTTCCTCAGCCCAGCCTGCATCCTCGCAGTCCAGGAGCCCTTGGGGGATGTCTGATTGACACTGAGGCTGGAGAGGCTCCCACCACTGCCGCTGTGTTTGCCAGTCTTGAGCCCAGCTTTGGCTGAGTGGTGCTCCCCTGTGGGAGCATAGTTACTAGCAGGGGATGCTCCTGTGTTGAGTGGGATCAGGCCAAAACTGGCTCTCTGACATCCCATGAGGGGTCCAGAGTGTGTATGGCCCATCTTGCTCAGTCCTGATTGGCCAGACCTCAGCAGCAAGCTAACCTACCAGTCAGAGCATCTGCTCCCTGGTGGTCAGTGCACGTCATAGCGAGCAGTTGAGTGGCCTTAACATATTATGCTTTGGTTGGTTGAATGGGCGACTGGACACTTAGCATATTAGGCTTTTATTATATAGGATAACTATGCCAAATCGAAGTCAACTGAAAAAAGTTGAAGAACAATAATTACAAGCATTATTGGATGAAGATGCATGTCAAACTCTAAAACAACTTGCAGAAATATTAAAAGTTGCTCAGCAAACAATTGCCGATCATTTACAAGCAATAGGAAAGATTTTAAAGGAAGGAAAATGGGTGCCACATCAACTGAATGAAAGACAAATAGAAAACCAAAAAGTCATAAGTAAAATATTGCTTCAATGGCATGAAAGAAAGTCTTTTTTGCATCGAATTGTGACTGGCGATGAAAAGTGGATTTATTTTGAGAATCTCAAATGGACAAAATCATGGGTTGATTCAGGTCAACCATTAACAATGACTGCAAGGCCAAATCACTTCAGAAAGAAGACAGTGCTCTGTGTTTCATGGAATCAGGAAGATGTGGTGTATCATGAGCTTCAAAAACCAGGTGAAACTGTTAATACTGATTGCTACCGACAACAAATAATTTTTTGAACCATGCTTTGATTGTGAAATGACCAGAATGGGCCAGAAGACATGGCAAAGTAATTTTGCTTCATGCTAACACATCATCACACACTTCAAAACCAGTTGAAGACATGTTAAAAGGTCTTGCCTGAGAAGTATTAACCCGCCCTCTGTATTCACCAGACTTTGCTCTTTCAGATTACAATTTGTTCCAATCGATGACACACATACTTTCTGAGCAGAAATTCAGAACATACAAAGAAGTGGAAAATTGGGTCTCTGAAGGGTTTGCCTCAAACAAGAAAAGTTCTATTGGGACAGTTATACAAATTACCTGGAAGATGGGGGAAATGTGTAGCTAGCAATAGACATTACCTTGAATAAAGCACTTTTGATGTTTCTCTTGAAATTGTCGTGTTTTCTTTGATTACAAAATTCACCATTATTAACCTATACACCTACTATAGGAAACAAACCAAATAGTTTAACCACTGCTCTTTAAGCTAAAGCTTGGTTTCTTTGGCATTTATAAATGCCAGTGAAATAAGTTGGTTATTTATACAAAAACAAATAATTGACTTTATTTTTCAGAAATTATTAAATATGCATAAAAACAACAGTTCCAGAACAAAATTATGTAGAAGCAAAATGAAGTTGAGTGTTTTTTAGGTTAACCCAAGTCTGTCTTTTTCAAAGAATTATTGTGCAGTCATCCTTTAAATTATTTTTGTTTTGGTCATTTTTTGTTTTGAAGCTTGAGAAAGAAGCAATGAAGGATGCAGTTTTAAAAGCCATAGAAGAAGAAAGAAAAACTTTGGAAAAAGTCCATGCTGAGGAAAGGGAATTATGGAAGACTGAGCATGCAAAAGATCAAGAAGAAGTATCTCAGGCAATTCAAAAAGCTATACAAGAACAAAGAAAAATTAGTCAGGTTAGTAAAATTAATTCTTTTTGAATATTTTTTCTTATTTTTCTCAAAATATAGTTTTCTTACTATTATTTTATCTTACTTTAAATCAACTTAGTGGACATATCAGTATTTAATAATTTAGCCTTTGGTAAACAATTCTTAATATAACTATTTTTATCATCTTATACTTTTAACCTTGCCTTTTTACTCTACTTTAAAAACAAAACACAATCCAAATTTATGTTTAGTCAATGCATCTACATTAAAAATTTAATGTTAGCCCTAGATTGTTTGGCTTAGTGTATAGAACATAGGCCTGTGGACTGAAGGGTCCCAAGATTTGTTCCAGTCAAGGGTACATTCTCAGGTTTCAGGCTCAGTCTCCAATGTGGGGCATGCAGGACGCAGCTGATCAATGACTCTCTCTCATCATTTATGTTTCTGTCTCTCTACCCCTCTCACTTCCTCTCTGAAATCAATATATATATATATATATATATATATATATGTATGTTTTTAATTTTGAAGTTATAATAAATTGGTAGGTTAGAAGTTAGGTAGGTTGATTATCATAAAAAGTATGCTTATAGAAAAAATCACAATATGTATATTCTTAGAGTTTGTCTATATATCTATATATGATTTTTTTCTAGAGGGACACCTCTGATAGGAAGAAAATACATATCAACTTACAAGTATGGGAACTACTGCATTAACTTTTTTTTCATATATATTTTTTTATTTATTTCAGAGAGGAAGGGAGAAGGAGAGAGAGATAGAAACATCAATGATGAAAGAGAATCATTGATTGGCTGCCTCCTGCACAACCCCCACTGGGAATTGAGCCCTTGGCTGGAATCAAACCTAGGCGTGTGCCCTTGGCTGGAATCAAACCTAGGACCCTTGAGTCAGCAGGCCTAATGCTCTATCCACTGAGCCAAGCCGGCTAGGGCTGCATTAACATTTTAATATTGACTTTTTAGGGAATCACCAATTTATAGACATTTATAGACATCACTTAGTTCATTGATTATATTAATTCCCTAGAAAATCAAATTTAAAAAAGGAATAAAGTATTACAAATTCCTTTGTTAAAATCCCACTAATTAAATAATACTAGTTAACGAAATTGCAGGACCAGAGATATAATCTGTAAATATATTTTACCCAGGGACTACAAGTGATGGGATTCTGAAATCCTGTCTCTTGAACTTGTTCATACCCTTGAGGATTTTTACTGTCAGTCTCATAATTCACATCCTTGTTACTCCTTTCAGGAAAATACCTGCAATATTAGACATTACAAAATTGACAGAATGTCATCATCACTTATATCAATAAGGAAAGTAATAATAGTTCTTCATGTTCAAGTTTCATTTCCTTGGCTTTATTATAGACAAATATTTCAAGCTGTTTGCTACAAAGCTATTTTTATGGAATTTGTTCTTCAGTTTTGGCTGTAGAAAAATAAAAATAGTAGTTATAGTGCTGGTGGTAGTAGGGTTGACAATAATTGTAACAATATTGGCTCTCATTAATTTATTTCTAAGTACCAGGCACTTTGTAATTGTTTTACATGTTTGATTTCATTTAATCCTCACGACCACCTTATGAGGCAGAAACTATTTTTACAGGATCGGAAATTAAAGCTTAGGAAGATTATGTAACTTGCTGGAGGCCATAATAACTTTGGAAAAGGCAACAGTTTGGATCCAAAATCAGGAAGCCTTACTCCAGGGGCCTTGCAGCTCACCACTATGCTATTCTCCCTCCCAATGTTCTCATCTTAAAATAAAGTATGAATTCAGCTTTTTGATCATTTAATGTATAATTTCAATAGGAAAAACTTGAAGGGGTTATTTTAATTTCTTTATTCATTGAGTAATATTTATTAACCACCTACCATGTTTTGGCACTATAGATAACTGTTGGAATATTTTGGTATAGCATCTAACAAGATAGACAAGGTCCCTAGGCACTCATAGAGTTTATATTCAAGTAAAAAAAGCCATTAATAAATAATGTAATACCATATAATGATATAGGTTGTGATGACAAAACCAGGATTATGTGTTTAGCTGAGAATGTGTGGCAAGGGACTTGTATAGATGAGGAAATTAGGAAAGAAGCCAGACTCAAAAAAAAATTTGCATGCTGCATGATTCTGTTTATACAAAATTCTGGAGAAGGCAAAGCTGATTTGAGGGGAAAGAAATCAGTTGTTGCCTGGGAAGGGTGGGGGAAACTGAAGGTGATGGATACTTTATAATTGTTTTGATGATTTTTGACAAAGTTTATCAAAATATCTATTTTATGGTGGTGAATTTTATTACCTGCAAATAATTTTTTAATATATTTCATTGATCTTTTTTTATAGTGAGGAATGGAGAGGGATAGAGAGCTAGAAACATCGATGAGAGAGAAACATGTATCAGATACCTCTGCACACCTTCTAATGGGGATGTGCCCGCCACCAAAATATATGCCTTTGACCAGAATCAAACCTGGGACCTTTCAGTCCCTAGGCCGACACTGTATCCACTGAGCTAAACCGTTAGGGCTACATGCAAATAATCTATATCATGAAAGGCCTGTGGTCCTGATGCCGTAATGGTGGAAAAACCAAACAACCGGTCACCAGGAGGTCCTGGAGCACCTCTTGAGCCCTATCCTCACCCACAATCTTCTGGGGCACCAGCAGCATCAGTGGAGCATCATGGGGTGCCAGCAACGTCTGCAGAGCATGCAAGGTGTTGCGGGGCAGAGGACATGGCCCTCATGGCAGGCTAGGCCAGGGGACCCTACATGCACATGATTTAATCATGCGCTGGGCCTCTAGTATTTTCATAAAGCTATTTTTTGAAAACAAATGTTTACCAGAATAAATTATTGGATGGATGGTGATTTCAAAAGGTGACTTCATTTACTCTGGTGAAGAAGGTTCAGGTTTCTTGAGCATAAAAAATCCATTTGTTCATATTAAATTAGAGGTCCCTATTAATCCTAGAAAAAGGAAATGTTGGGTAGACAGTTAAAAATATGGTTCTGGAGTTCAAGTGATTTGTTATGGCTGGAGATTAAAATTTGGGATTGAGAAGATGGTATTTAAAGACAAATAAAAAGAAAAAAAATTCTGGACAGATATCTACATGAAATTTTTGTGTGGAATGTGGCCATCTTCTATCTAGCAAAAATTGTGGCTATTTGAGATTAACTATGTAATAGTGGAAATAGTCTCACACTAACAAGTGTATTTCAGATGAAATTGTGAAGGTATTAACGTTATTGGTGCTTTCTGTATCACACTATTGTCCAAGATTGAGAGGCCAGGGCTTTATGCACCTTTTCTAGGAGGCTCAAGGTCACCAGCATAATCAGTAGCTTCTGCCACCTTCTGCCCACATCCTGTCCAGTTACAGAGGCCAAGATCCATCCTGATTTCTAGTTCATGGGCAGCTAGTTGGGATCCATAAACCCTGAAGAGCTCCTACTATCCAGGAACCTACAAACTGTCGTGTACTGACTGAAGAGGCTGATTTAGAAAAGCCTGGAAGCTCTTGTTTTTGAATTCTAAGATTTAAGTCACTTCACATCACTCAGATGTTTCTTTAATAAAAATAATTCTGCAAGTAAACCTTCTAATTAGCAGCAAGTAGCATCTTTAGCCACTAAGTCACACTAGAAATTAGGAAAGGATAGACTATGGCAAAGCAAAAAGCAATCAGTCTAAATTTAAGCAACTCAAATTACTCCTGAGAAAGTAAGGAAAATAAAACAGCTTTTCTATGTTGATAGTGTAATTAACTGCTGAGATAAACATTAAACTATGACAGAAAAATACAATACTTAAGAATGTGCCACATATAGCTTCGAATTTATCTGAAAGATGATTTTGTCTGGCTTTGGTCGTAAAGTAAGACTAAGTCATAGAGTTGATTATAGATTTTTACTTTTTTTTCTGAGATATCAAGTATTATGTTTGATTCTGACATATATGAGTATCATATTAGATTAATTCTGTGTGACTTAAAAATCTTTGTTAAAGAAAGGAAAGTACATTTGTTATTGAGACCAACATGGACAAAAAGAAGAGAGTAATTAATTTTGCTGTTCAAGCAAAGTCCTGTGAAAGGATGCCAGTGCATACAAGACAAACTATTTCTGACGTTGAATGCTCTTCATAATAGTTTATAACCACAGCCACTGTAATTTGGGGTTATGTTTTCCTCAAAGCCACAGACATTACAATCAGTGGTTATATTTTCTTTAAGAAATTTAGTATTGCTACCTGACCCTTCTTTTTATAAAGGAAATAGCATTTCTATTTTAGCTTAGCAGGCCAGATAGTTTCACAACACAAATTATTTTTCTGAGTTGACTTAGTTTTGATTCATTGGTTTGTTTTAAATTTGTATTTATGAAATTTTGATAGTAATATATTATAGTTAATTATAGGCAAAATCTTAATTGCCAAAAGTATTATATCTAGGGACAAGAGAACAAATAGTACATTAGCTTACCTTTTCATCTCTTGAAACTTTTTCCTTCTGTTAAATTTCTAATCTCATTAGATGAGACATTATCTGCCAAGTTATCCAGTCCAGAGAACTGAAATTTCTCCTAATATCTATCTATCTCTCTCTCTCTCTCTCTCTCTCCGTGTTTATCATTAAAACCTTCCCATTTTACTTGATAAATAACTCTTAAACATATATAATTCCTTCCTATCAGCTGTCATGGTCTTAATTATGGTTCTTATTGCTTACCTTGATCTCCTGCATTGATTTCTTTGCTTCCAATTTTGTCCTCTTTCAATTTAAAATTAAAAAAATGAAAGTCATTCTCCCACTTTAAACTCTCCAGTGCTGCCCTGTAGCCAATAGGACATTCAAGTTATTCAGCATGACCGATACATCTTTCGGAGCATAAGATATAAATCTTCTAGTGACCTGGTCCTGCCACCCCAGCTCATCTTCTGCCACCCTGTTTCACATTTCATGCTTTTAGTACAACACTGCAGG